TTGGGTCGCCTTTCTTTGGGATAGGAACAAATATCGATCTCTTCCAGTCAGTTGGCCAAGTGGTCGTTCTCCAGATTTCTTGGCACAACTTGGTGAGCCCGTCCAGGGCAGCATCTGTTAACTGAAATATTTGGTTACATTCAGCAAATTTTATGGGGGAAACTTCATATCAGGCTGTGTAGCAGGCATTGAGTATCTAGATGACTGAGCCATCACCCTCACCACCAGAGACAGATATAAAAGCACAACAGTTGAATGTGTCATTAGCTTTCCGGTTGGAAATAAGACTAGAACACCACAGGCCTGACTGGGTGAATGAGGTGGAGTGGTCAATTTCCTGGGAATGACATGATTGTGCTGATGGTTAATGAATGACGAGGAATAGGGCAAACCGGGAAGATATTTCTGTACTTAGGCACATTTGCAAAGAACAGCATTGTATCATCTGTAATCTGTGAATTCTAAAAAGTAGAGCCCTGATCATGTTTGGCCTTGCTGCCGTAGGATAATGAGGAGCAGAGAAACTGGTTTTTGTTTAATAAGTATAATACTCTGGTAATAAAAAATAGAATGAATTTTAAGATAAAAGGAGATCTAAAAATCTAGGTAAGCTGTGATTTAATAATTCATGATTACTGATACTTGTGTCAAGAACAATGAAAGTATTTTGAAGTATAAAGTATCTTCTGTTAACTTTTTTTCTGTCACTCCATGGACTTTCCTGGCTTAGGCTTACACTGTGCTCTATTTTAAAAACATCTGTTCTTTTGCATAATGCTCCCATTAGAAAAGGCTCACATATGGAACGCTAGTGGCATAGTGGCAAGATACTGAGCTGCAATCCTGAAGGCGTGCAGTTCTAATCCACTAGATTCTCTGCTAGAGGAGGGCCAGTCTCCTCCTGTGCCAGTGGGGTCAGATTCGACAGGACACAGCAAGGAAAAAAAGGGGGAAAACTCACTCTTAAGTCTGCCTTCAGTTTTTTTCTCGGCCATGTGCTTTTTCTAACTGTTGACCTGTTTGGGTTTTGCACTTTGAAGTATTCCCAACCACAATTGTATTTAGGAAGATCTGGGAAAAAATCTGAATAAAGGAAAAGAAAATTTTCAGTAGGTTTATTAAAAGTCATTATGGGGGTGGGGGGGAGTCATTATGACAGGACATGCCTGGAAAATCCCTACTCATAGTCAGGAATTTAAGACCAGCTGTAGTAGATCCATCTGAAGCCACTCAGCATTCTTGTTATGTAGAGAAAACTCTTAAAGCGTCATTTTTCCAAGAGATTTAATTTACTATTAGCGGGTTTGGCTCTTGAAGGGTCTTCCTCTCTTGCAAGGATGAAAGCTAGGTGCCACAGTTTCAGCCCTGGATTAAGAATTAAATCAGAGAGAGAAGCGACCACCCTAGTGAGTCTCTCGCACTGTATGGATCAAGCTCTAGGGCAGTGTTCTCACCGGCAATGCTGAGGATCTGGATTATTGGAATTGCAGGTGGCTGTTGCATAGATTATGGGCTGTTTCACAGCATTCATGAGCTTTGTTGAGTAGGTAGCATGAGCTCAGTTGTGTCAAGTAAAAATGTCTCTGTTGAGGAGGCATAAGTGCCACTATTGAAAAACCAGTGCTCTGCGGCATGTGCGACAGTAGCAACTTCAGTAAACTGTCACATAGAATGCAATTTCTTTTTTTTTTTTACCTAATTTATCTCTGGGCTTTCTTTTCACTGTGCACTTCTGATAATCTTTCTCCCAAATTTCGAGGACTTTGAGAAACCTTTTACTCTTTCATTTCATAATGTTTCACAGTTTTCTCTAAAAGATTTTAAAACTAAAAATTTATATACTGAATTATAGAATGATCTCATGAGTTTCTTAAAAAAATCAGCTTAGATTTTGACTGAGATTTCATTGGATCAGTAGTTCAGTTTGGAGAAATTGACATCTTTTAACTGAGACTTTAATGTAGGAACACAGAATATATCTGTTCATGTAGCTTTCATGTCTCTGACCAGTTGTTTCTTAGTCTACTGATGATACACCTTCTTCGTTAGGTTTGTTGGCAGTGCTGACCAAATAGTGGTTTGATTTTCCCGTGAGTCTGAAAGAGATAGATCTCCTGGGCACGTTTACAGCCTCTGAAAATCTGCTGGAGGGAGGATCAGCTGTGAATGGATTTGATGAGAGTTGATTGGAAATGATAACTTTTTCCCCCTGAGAATTACTGCTTTATATTTTTGGTGTGATTTTAATGAAAGTTTACAAGGAAATTGGTTCTCATTCATTTGTACACATTTTCCTCCCTCCCAGTTAACTTTGTAATGCAACTCCTGTTCCAGATTGTTAATTGTCATACACCTCATGTCTAATCGACCATTCCTTTCAGATTGTCCTTCCCTATCCTATTCCATGCGGTGTTCATTATCTCCATTCTTTTCCCTCTTCTTCCTCTACTCCCTCCCCATAGCCATCCTGTTTATACAACATTGGAGTTATGTAATAGTTACCCTTTGTGTGACTGAAGTTTTGGGGTTTTTTTAATGTTAAAATACTTCACTATTACTATCTGTGGTAATGTACATATTGAGAGGCTAACCCGAAGACTGTGCATCTGTGGCAGTTCTAATCCACCAGCCTCTCCTGGGGCGAAAGATATGGCAGTCTGCTCCAGTGTGATTAGAACCTCAGAAGCGCCATGGAGGGTCAATCCATAGCGTTGAGAATGAATATATGGAAATACGGTTGCGTTTTTCTGTTGCCCTTCTCCTTCAGACCTTGTTAAAGAAACTTTTTTTATTTAGTACCTTTTTGGTAGATTATGTAGGATTTTTCTAGATAAGCAATGATATTGATTGGAAATGATAACTTTTTTCCCCTGAGAATTACTCAGGATGATTTCCCATCCTTTCATGTTGGATTAATAACAGTGTTGATAAAGAAATCAAACCTATGGTATTTTCTACTGTGCAATATAACCTTCTCTATTGCTCACATAATGAGCCGTGGTTCTGTGGTAAAGAGTTTGGCTCCAAGGTGTACCATGAAAGAAAAATATATTTTGCAGTCTATTTGTATAAAGATTTCTGGGTTTGTTGTAATTTATCATATAGGGATGCTTCTGTAAAGAATCCCTTTGATAGCAATGATTTTGCTTTGTTTCTTAAAAAAATTACTTGAAGAACAATTAGGACCTTCTGATAAATTTGCATATGATTTCATTAGGACTTTACAATTAAACTTAGGTGGTTTTTTTTCCATTTTAGGCCCTGGAAATGTATAAGGATGATTGGAACAAAGTATCAGAACATGTTGGAAGTCGTACTCAGGATGAATGCATCCTCCACTTTTTGAGGCTTCCCATTGAGGACCCATACCTTGAAAATTCCGATGCTTCCCTTGGGCCTCTGGCCTATCAGCCTGTTCCCTTCAGTCAGTCAGGAAACCCGGTCATGAGCACCGTTGCTTTCTTGGCATCTGTGGTGGACCCACGTGTGGCCTCTGCCGCAGCCAAAGCAGCATTGGGTATGGACTTCCCTTAATCATCTCCTTAGCAGAAAAAACTCTTTGGATCTTGCTTTAATACACTATTTTATAGTAAAATTATCTCATTTAATTATTATGTTATATAGCATTCTGGTGATTTACTAGTAAGGAATTGTGCTACTAACCCAAAGGTATGTGGTTTTGACTCCACCATCTGCTCCACGTGAAAAAGATGAGCTGTCTCCTCCTCTGAGATTATCTGCCCCTCTAAACCCACTTGGAGGTTCAGCTGTGGTGGATTCTAACTCTGTGGTACACAGTAACACAAATAAGTAACAAATATTTCAGAAGTAACCCCTTGAAGATACTGTGTACTATTTTAAAAAAATATAACAAGTAAAACACCTTAATAAACTATTGCTTAATAATTAAAAGCTTTGATTAAAATTGTAGGTTCACAGGAGAGTTTTTCCTGGTATATTTTTGTGATTCATAGTGTAATATAAATAATATTAGGAGTTATTTCATACTCTGGGATTATATTACTTATAACCACACCTTCTCGTAAGAATTTTTTTTCTAGTTTTAGAATTGTTGTATCTTTGCATTTTTCCTGGTTATCATCCTAGGCAAGAGATAGCTAGATACAGTTTGGGCAGCAGTTTTCATTGCTGCTTGCAGAAGTTAGAGATCTCTGAGCACAATGCTGTGACTTGAGGGATAAGCCTAGTCATGCAGTGTCATTCCTCTATATGATTATCTCATCTGACTTGCTGTCTTTGTTTTTATAAGGATCAAGTTTCACAGATAAATTCATTTAAAACAAGAATACTGCTTTTTTAGAGTTGCATATTGGGAGAAATGTGTGCAAAATTAGGACCTTGTTCTCTTTTTCATTTTTGAACAGAGGAGTTTTCTCGGGTCCGAGAGGAGGTACCATTGGAATTAGTTGAAGCTCATGTCAAAAAAGTACAAGATGCAGCACGAGCCTCTGGAAAAGTAGATCCTACCTATGGCCTGGAAACCAGCTGCATTGCAGGCACAGGGCCCGATGAACCAGAGAAACTTGGTAAGTTAGTCCTAACTCCAAAATTAGCCAAATGGTAGAATTTAATAGAAGGCTGGTTTTTCCAGTAATGTTACTAAATAACTGGATCTGCTTCCATTTGAGAGTATAGTGATCAATCTAAGTATCTAGTAAGACCAGTGTTTAAACACACACACCCCATCCGAGAGCTGGGCATTGAATAAGGATGACAGAAGAATTAATACCTTTGAGCTGTGGTGTTGGAGAAGAGCACTGAACATCCTATGAATGACCAAAAGAACAAATATGTCTTGGCAAGGATTGCTGCCAGAGTGCTCTTTGGAGGAAATGATGATGAGGTTTCGCCTCACATACTTCGAGCAAGTTGGTAGGAGGGGCTGTTCCTTGGAGAGGGAGGGACATGATGCTTGGAAGGGTTGAGGGTCAGCGATGGAGAGGAAGACCCTCAACCAGGTGGACTGACTAGGCTCTAGTGTTTCAGGAAGTGTGAACATGGCATGGGATAGGACATAGTTCAGATCTGATGTTCATGGGGGTGCTAAAAGTCTACCTGACTCAGTAGCACCTAACAACAACCCCTCCAATATATCTTCCTTTTAAATTAGCTAAAGGGAAAATACTGCTTCATGACTTAATTTAATAGCACAGTGGCATACGATGAGTCTTTTTAGATGTCAATCTTGAATATATGAGATACTAAATATAAATAGACTCTTACAGTTATTTTCATGTATATTTATACAAAATATACATGAAAATAGGTTAAACCTCCTAGTTATTTTTGTTTGTCATTTGGCCTCTTGAGGAGCCTACCAAACTGTTTCCTAAAGAGTAACAGGTTTATCTTCCCAGTAACACTTCTTCTGCCAATTCTTAACAATTTTCTTTTTATATATGTAGTTAGAATATTCCTGTTAAGTGAAATATTACCTCATTGTTCTGATAATGTAATTCATTAATGATCCTGAACATCTTTTCACGTGTGTAATTGGGGAATTTGATATATTTAATTTGGTCTTTTTTTTTCCTCCCAATTTTAATGAACATTTCCAGAGACTTTGGCATTTTATTCATTCATTGTTGCATTTTTCTGCCTTTGTTCCTTTTAAAGTGTTTCATTTCCATATCTCTTGTCCAATAGTTCTATTTTCTTTTTTTTATTATGAGACATATGTATATATATAGCGAGAACTACACATTTGCCATTTTAAGATTGACATGTTATATTTTATTTTCTTAGAAAGTCTTAGACTTTTTGAATTCTTGCTTCAGTAGTCTCCCATTTCTTTACAGATAACCTTACTCTTCTTGCCACGAGATTTCCATGCAGGTATTTTTAAGGCGGGAGAGTTCCAAATACCATGTGTATAAAATCTCTAGGCCAGTGAACCTGAGTAAACAGTGTGAACAATAGTCATCAGACTTCTGTGGTGTGAAAACTGCTGTGTTTGAAAAGCTCTTTGAGATCAGTTTCAAGGGGACACTGAAAATAAAGACTCAAAACTTTTGAGCAACTCGGAATTGTATATTTATCATCTGAGCACTTAATACCCTTGGATTTCAGCAATTTTCCTAATAACTCATTTACTAGATGGCAGAATGTGTGTTTTTAGAAAGAAGTTGGCTTCCATGATACTATAAGAAATAGTACTATGAGAACTGGAATACTGTGAGAATGCCTCATATTCTGAATCTTGCCTGATTTTCACCTTCGACAGAACGCACTCTTAATGCTTTCCTATATCTCATTTTTATGGAAAGTATTTGTATTTTCCTTCCCTCACTGCTTTGCAATTTACACAGATACTGACTTGTTGAGTTTACTGTGTACTGCAGTCATTAGCTTTTTTGAGGACTTTAAAAATCAAACCAGGCATTCTGAGTACTTGATAAATATGTGTTACAAAATTTTGGCAATATTTGTTGAGTAGATAGCAATTCATGCCATCTAATAACTGAGACTTTTTTTATACCAAGTTAAACATACAAGGAAGAATAACTTCATGTTGGAGGGTAAAGGAGGGCTGTGCATAGGAAGTGAAGCTTTATGGGTGAAAATGAAAGGTTGCTTAAAAGGTAGGAAGTAAATAGGCCAACACCAATAAAATGTTTAAATAAGAACATGGAAAGAAATTAATCTCCAAAGGCAGGTGATTGGTAGGTTACAAAGCCTTTCCGTTAAGGCTTGAGAGATTGAATTGTATATTACTGTCATTAGGAATATTTATAATTTGGGCTTTTTTTGTCTTTACAATTAACAATATTTTTGTTACTGTTTTTTCCAGTCATCTGGTCGTTTTGTTTTATAAAAATAAATTATATAATGCCATTACTTACCACTTGCTGTTCAAGCCATAGATTGTTGTTATTACATACCATCGAATCCCAGTTGACTCATGGCTAACCTTCCAGCAGGGTTTCAGAGGCAGTAAATTACACAAGAGAAGATTGCTTATATTTCTCTTGGAGAGTGACTAGTGGATTTGAATTGTGTGACTTTGGCTTGACAGCACAACTCCTTACCACTAAGCCATCAGAACTCCTTCATGTCCTAGATTGTTGTTGTCATAATGTGCTGTTGAGTTGAGTATAACTCAGTGATGCTGTGAACAGCACATCTGAACCCTGTCGTATCCTGCACCATCCTCATCATCTCTGACATACTTGAGTCCATTGTTGCCGTCATTTTGTCGGTATGTCATTGGGTCTTCTCTTTCACTGAGCCACCTCCACATTTGCAAGCGTGATGTCCCTTTCCAAGGCACCTTCTAACAGTGTGCCCAAAGTATGTGGGACAAAGTTTCGCCAGCCTTGCCTCTAAAGAACTCTCTGGTTGCACCTTCTCCAGTTTGTTTTGTTGACAGTCCGTAGGATATTCAGTACTCTTTTTCAACATCATAACTCAGAGATACTGAATTTTCTTCTGTTGTCCTTATTCATTGTCCTGCTCACAGACACAGAACAAGTGATTGAAAAGACCATCACTTAAATTAGGTGAACCTTAGTCATCAAACTATCATGGAGAGTTAGTTACCCTAGACTTTCTCTATGAAATGTATCTTTTGTTTTCTGGAAAACGTGAACAGTACATTGACAGAGAACTACCAGAAATACAAGCTGGGTTAAGAAGAGGTCGTGGCACTAGGAACATTATTGCCAGTGTCAGATGGATCTTGGCGGAAAGCAGAGAGTACAAGAAGAATGTCTGTCTGTGTTTCGTTGACTATGAAAAGGCATTTGACTGTGTGGCTCACAATAAATTATGAGTAACCGTGAGGAAAAAGGGAAGGTCAGAACACTTGATCATGCTTATACGAAAACTATACTTGAACTAAGAAGCTGTCCTCAGAACAGAACAAGAAAGCACAGCATGGTTCAAAATCACAAAACGAGTGTGTCAGGGATACATCCTATCCCCATACCTTTTCAATCTGTATGCAGAACAGATCATTTGGGAAGCAGGACTTTATGAAGAGTGTGGCATCAAGATTGGAGGAAGACTCATTAACAACCTACAATATGCAGATGACACAACCTTGCTTGCTGAAACTGACGAAGACCTAAAGCACTTGCTGCAGAAGGTCATGGACTATAGTCTTCAATATGGATTGAAGCTGAACATCAGGAAGACAAAGATTCTCACCACTGGGCCAATTGGCAGCACCAAGACAGAGGGAGAAGAGATTGAGGTTATTAACAATTACAGCTTGTTAGAGGGGCTTCAGGCCTTTTGTTGATAGAGTCGCTATGAGTCTTGCTTGACTCAAAGGCAATCAACAACAGCAATATGTAGACGACTACTGCTATGGAACTCGGGTGTCCTAGTGGGAAGAAACTGCCCTGTAAGTCTGAAAGCACATGATTTGAATCTCACCACGTGCTTCTTGGCAAAAGGGTAGGCAGTCTTCTCCTGTGCAATTAACAGACTCTAAAAATCCATTGGAGCATCAGTTATGGATTGGTTCCAACTTGATAATACTCAACAACAACTGGTGCCAAAAATGTTGATTGTGGATCTAGGCAAGATGGAATTATTTACTGTCTCAATCGTCTCTCTATGATAATATTGCCCAGTGGTGAGGATTTTGGTTGAGTGTGTCAGAGACAGATAAGCTCGGGTTAGAACAGGGCTCAGAGGTATTATGCGTAGGATCACCATGAATTGTAGCCAGCTCTATAGCACATAACAACAGTGTTGAGATATAATCCATATTGAAGGTCATAGCCTGTGCTCTTCTCCAGCAAGCATTTCAAGTTCTCCTCGTTTTCCATGAGCAAGGCTCTGTCATCTGCACCATGCAGATTGTTGAGTCTTCTCCCTATCCAGATGCCACCTTTTTCCATCTTCTCAGTGTCCAGATTAAATAGGTATGGAGACAGGATACAGCCACGACCCATATCTATCTTGATTTTAAACCATTCATTGTTAGTTCCCTTGCTCTTTTCAGCTTCTTGATCTAAATACAGATTTCACATGAGTGTACGTGTTTTGGGATGTCCGTTCTTCTCAATGTTAGAGATAGTTTGATATGATCCACAGAGTCAAATGCCTTTATATAGTCAGTGAAACAAGAGTCATTCTTCTGGTGTTCTCTGCTTTCAGCCAGATCTGTCTGATATCAGCAATGATAATCCCTAGTTCCATGGCCTCTTTTAAACCCAGCTTCAACTTCTAGCAGTTAGTTCTCTGTCACTGTACTGTTCTTTATCATTTCCACATTCTCTTGGATCACCTTTGTTGGGGATGGGAATAAATATGGATCTCTTCCTTAGCCACTGCACCATTAGAGCTCCTTCACAGAGCAAATTATTAGTGTCACTATTTTTGATCTGTGAGAGATGGACAGAATAATTGAGCAGGATCTAATTAGCAGTACTTTCTAAAGACACTGTGCTAGTGGATGCCAGCTAATTTGCTTCTCACTCTTCATTCAAAATTTTAATTAACCATGTTAGATATTTTTTATATTGCTTTGTAACAAATGTCCACAAAGTTAATGGGTTAAAACAAGATACATAGGAAATAATAATTCCTGAATCAGAAATTTGTTTACAGAATCATCTTGGTATCTCGTAATTAGAGTTTATTAATATAATTATGGTGCTCTGATGACCTCAGGGATAAGGCATTGCAGTGCCAGCCCAAAGGTATGCAATTTAAATCAACAAGCAGCTCTGAGGCAGGAAAGGTGGGCTGTCTCCTCTTGTGCAAGTTCCAGCCTCTGAAAACCTTCTAGAAGATTGTTCTAGCTGGATTGCATGTAAGAACAACAGTAACATTATTGATATGTATGTTTATATTTCATATTAATATAGAGATTCATTTTGAAATTTATACATGTTTAAAAATCTGGTATCAAATTTGACTTGCCCTATCATCAAGTAAATAAATATGTAGCCTTTCTGAAATGTAGAGCTATTTGTTACAGGTAAGTGCAGATATCTTTACCAGAGAATAAACAAACCCTACTTTTCTCTCAAATAAGCATTTATGTACTGTTATTATTAAACCGGTGCAGTAGCACTGGTCTAATACACATTCTGTTAAAATTACCTTGCAAAATTATTTTAATTCCATGGGTAGCACTAGTAGGTAAGCATTATGCTGTTAGGAGAAAGTGTGTTTGTTTGATCCTGCCTGGGAGGGCCTCGGAAGGAAGGCCTGACAGTCTGCTTCTGAAGGCCCAGCCATGGAAACCCTGTGCAGTGCACATGTCTTCTGAAACACATGGAGATACCGTGTGTTGGAATTGACTGGGTTGTTTGATTTTGTGAAAATCTTTGCCACATTTGCATGCAAGATTTTTTGTTTAGTTTTTTTATCAGCTTTATTGTCATTTTATTCCTTGTACTATTTGTGAAATAATTAATTTGCAGTTGTATAATACACATAAGAAAATTCAACAGTGACGAAGGAAGACTGAGGATTTGAAGCTTTGAATTGTAATGTTGGTGAAATGTATTCAATAGTGAATGTGTTATACATTTCTTACACAGTTTTAATATTTGTGCTTTTGGGGGTTTTGGCATGTTTTCATAAAAAGTCCTTGATTGTAAGAGTCAGATTTACCTTTTTGTTTCTATGATTTGAACTTTTTTTGTCTTTATAATTTGTGATTTTCTTAAACATGTTTATCATTACCTCAATTTATCTGTCAATATATTGAAATATATTTTTAGATAGCTAACCACTTTTCTGAACACTATAATTGTTTTCTAAAAACTACATTCTTCTAGTTTTATTCTCTGCAGATCGTCCTTCTTCCTCCCTTTGCAGTCTTCCCCTTTAGCTTCTTTTTCTTAGTTGAGGACATTGACTCAGAACGCCACGTCATTGTGAAGTAGGAATAGTGATAGCCTTTTTTTTTAAAGATAATTTTATTTATTTATTTATTCTTTTTATGTGTGTACCGTCAAATTGGATCTGACTGGTACAGGAGGCGATTGTTCCTCCTTCTTCAGCAGAGCATCTGGTGGATTTGAACCGCGCACCTCTGGGATTACAGTGCAGTTTCCTACCTCTAGGCCACCAGAGCTCGCCAGATAGCCTTGTTTTACACTTGATTTCAGAGAAGCACTCTCAGCATAGCATCTCTCCATGAAACATACCATTTGTTGTAGTAGGAGTTTTAGTGACAGTTCTTTTAGGGTTTGTGTTTCCCACAAACTTTGATTTTGAAGTCTGTTGAGTTTTTCAGTCCCTTTTAATGCATGTGGTGAAATGGATTCCTAGATTTAGTACTAAATCAGCCCCCTGTTCCTGTCATTGTGTATTATTTTCAGGGACGCACAGTACGAATCCACTAGCTGCTCTGTGGGAGAAGGATGGGCAGCCTTCTCTCTTGTGATTTACTACCTCTGAGAAACCCACTGGAGGTCAGCTATGGGTCGGATCCGACACAACAGCGCACAACCTCATCTCCACTATCTTGTCAATACACATATATGTAGATGTAGATATACTAGGTGATTTGAATCCACCAGCTGCTCTGCAGAAGGACAGGCATAGTCTCCGGTGTGATTTACTGCCTCTGAAAACCCACTGGAGGGTCAGCTGTGGGTCAGTTACGACTTAGTGCCACACAGTGACAAAAAAAAAAAAAAAAAAGGAAACAGGTGACTTGAAAGCACATAACAACAACAGCCACCTTTCCTAAAATAGTTTCTTTGTACCAACTGTCTCTTTTCAAGTTTCAACACACCAGAGACGTAACCATTTTATTTGTTACTTCAAAGACCAGTTTTCAGGTATATTGATTCTCTCTGTTGTATTTTTATCTTGTTTTCTTTGATTTCTTTCCTCTTTTTCTTCTGATCCTCTATATTTTGTTACTCTTTTCAAAAATAAACAAAGCTAATTAAATTAGAACTTTTTTCCCTTGCTTTTTTTAATCTGAGGACTAAGGTTTTACATTTCCCTCTAAGTACTGCATTCAGTGTATCCTGTAATAAGTATCCAAGCACAGAGGATTTTTTGTTTGTATTTTGAATTTGTGACATCATTACACTGGGTGGGAGAGCTTCATGCATTGATTCCTTCCCCCTACCCCCCCCCCCATGTATACAGGCTTATTTTGTGATCAGGTTTGCAATTGATACTGAGCTTGCAAGTTATCTCCATTTATTCTCTAATTGTTGAGTATAAAAGTCTACATACGTCCATTAGATCATCTTGTTAGTTGAGTTCAAATCTGCTCTATCTTTTCGAGAGATGTTTTGAAATCCCCCACAGTAATGGTAGATTTTTCGTTTTCCTAGTGGGATTTTGGATATTGTGGTTTTGCACTGTGTTGTTTTGAAAATGGCTCTTCTTAATGCCAATTTTGATTCATGAAACCAGTGACTGTTAAGTTGATACCAGTGCTGACAACTCGTGCGTATCCAGGTTGGACTTGTGATCATGTGATATGTCTGAGGAGTAGTGTCTCATCCTTCCTCTCCCTCTCTGCATCCAGCTAGTTAGGGGCCTTCTTATTGATAGCACAGTTTCACAGCCAACTCAGTTGTTTGATGCTCAAGTCCTGGCCCCAATTATATGGATATATTTCATTGCCAATTCTATATGGCAGGCATTCTCAAAGGTGATGATTCTTACCAACAAGACTGTCTTATATAAAATGTGTGATATACCAAAACATTATATCCGTAATAGGTTTTTGTTGAAACTTGGAATGCAGTATTTTCTTCCTTCCACAATACGTAGAAAAAGAGGTATTTTCCCATTAACCAACACTTCCTTATACTTTTGTATCATTAAAATGACTTATTTAAATGTGGGTAAATGGTCTTATTGAGAGTATATTCCTTCGTTGGTTCATTTATGAGGGGAACTCTGCTGGAACATGTTTAGTAGGGAGTTGTGCTGTTTACTAAACATGATGTTTGTGTGGTAATTTGAGTCCACCAGCTACTCCATGACAGAAAGACAAGCAGCCTCCTCCCCTGCAATCCACTGGAGGTCAGCTGGGAGTCACTTCTGTCTCAACAGCAAGGAGTTTAAGTCCCATTTATAAAAGTATAGTATAAAAATTTAAGGTATAGAATACTTGAGCATATTTATTTAATGCTCATTTATTTAAATGTTTTTCCCTTTGATGTACTTCTTTATAAAGTTCTACAACCAAAAATCTTTCTCTTAAGGTTTTATTTTTTTAAATCTTAACTAATGTGCTAGTTCGAACTTACAATTAAGACTCCCTTCATCTTCCTGTGACACTTGGCTGTGCAGTCTGCAGCTCTAACAGTATTTACTCTTCCTTTCTGATTTCTCTTTACTGTTCTGTCATGAGCGATGACTCGCGTTAGCCCAGCGTCACTGTGGCTTTACCTCTTTCATTGAAATGCCCTTCACTCTGAATGTAAGATCATTGCATCTCCTGGTGCATGCAGCTTTATGCCTGAAAACTCATATGTAGTCTTTGATCACACATGTATTTTCCCTACCAATACTGCCTCACCCACCATGCTTTTCATAGTATCTGGTATGTTTTTACAGGCACATCTGTTGTACTCTGTTGGGCTTGTTGATCTGTTTCTCTCACCAGTAAAAGTGAAGATCTTGCTTGACATTGTTTCTCTAGTACCTGACTCAAAATAATACACCAGTAGTAATTCTATTAACATGTTGCCACAAATGACGGCTAATGTGTTTCTAAGCATTGTTGTCAATTTTAAAAGTGTGCGGCCGGCACCATGTTAAATAATAAAAAGCTGTCCTTAGTTCTTGCATATTGCATTTTTTTCTCCATCTTTATTCCATGTTATATATAAAGAAAATAAAAACCTAATGTTTACAACTAAGTACACTCAAACAAATTAAAAAGACTCATGTAAGCACCTTAACAGCAACATTGCGGCTTCCGCTTTGTCTTTATTCTCCCCTGTCCCGGTTAACTACTGTCTTGATATCTAAAATCCCAAATTAGTTTTGTCTGGTTTTGAATGATAATAGAGTATACATTCTTTTGTTTTGGGTTTCTCATTTCGGTCTTACTGTAAACCTCTTTTTTTTTTATTTGTTCTTGTAGAAGGAGCTGAAGAAGAAAAAATGGAAACAGACACTGATGGTCAGCCGCCTGAAAAGGTGAGCTTGAGTCCTTGGATAACAGAACTTTAAGAACTGAATGACACTTGGATTTGAAGATTTCCTTGACATTTTGAGCTTTTCTCAGGGTACTCTGCTAGCCAACTACATCACTTTGCACCTATGAAGTATAGTTGCTTAGAAATAAATGGAGAACTTTACATGTATTTATTCTTTGATGGTTTATCCAACTTTAGACCTAAGTGGAAACTTGAGTATAAAACTATATGTTTCTGGGGAGGAGGGTGGAGAGAATGATGCGGTAATGAAGGAGTGAAAGCCCAGAATCCCTGTGAATGTTCATTGAAACTAATAAAATTTAATAATAATAAAAAAAATAAAACTATATGTTTCGGCAAGCTCTGGTGGCCTAGTGGCAAGAAGCTGCACTGCAGTCCCAGAGTTGGAATCTACCAGCCACTCTGCTGGAGAAGGAGGGATACTCTCCTCCTATACCTGTCAGATATCATTTGACAGTACACACATACAAATAATGTTGTTATGTGCGTCGAGTCACTTGCAACTCACAGTGACCCTATGTACAACAGCCGTAAACTCTGCTCTGTCCTGTGCCAGTCGCACTGTCTCTGACACTCCCCTCCCGATTACCCCAGTCACTGAATCAGTCCATCTCATAGAGGGCCTTCCCCTCCTGCGCTGTTCTTCCACCCTCCCAAGCATAATGTCCTTCTCCAAGGACTGGTCTCTCCTTCCAACATTTTTTTAAAACCCTGTTATTTATCATATTTATTTATATCCTATGACAAAGAAAAGAAAAAGGCATTTCTTAGTAGAGTATTAGCGTAACCAGGGAAAAACTAGAAACTCTTTTGAACAGCAAATTAGAACGATAAAAACTTGAAAAGTAACTCAGTGAAATATTCCAATAGGCTTGGGAGGGAGACACTTAGGATGAGGGGTATCAAAGTGCACAGTATGTGTGTGACCTGATGCCCATGTCAAAGCAGGTGTAACAGAGTATGAGCTAGCTAGGGCAAGATTTAACACACTCTTTTGGTTCTGTTTGTTTTTATCTCCTACCCGTCCGTACTATGGTGAGTAAATAAATTCATGCAAAGATTTTCAGTCCTTGACTATCTGTGGTGGTTTAAAATTATATAGAACATGAGAACAATAAGTAAAATTTCTTAGAATACCTATAGTGTTCTGAGTACCACGATGAGGGCTTTACATTTATAATTTCTGTTTCTACACCACCACCATTGGGTCAATGATACTGTCTTCCTTTTTGTAGATGATTTTAGGTTATTTATCCCAGGTCACATATTTATATCAAATTCAGCAATTAGTAACATATATTGACCTGAGGAATTGAAATTTTTCAGTTCCCGAAGTATGTACCACCATTATTCTACTGTGGCTCTTGTAAAAACCATTAGCAGATAGCTTTATTAAAGGGTTTTATAAGCTTTGGTTTTAGCAGCATATTTTCCTTACTTTTTGGTTAGTAATAAGGAATTTAAGTGTTCCTGGTCCATTTGAACAACTATTCATTTATTCTGTTAATTTTTTATATACATTATACCAGCTAAGTCCCTGACATTGCTTTGGCAGTTGTAATTTGGGTTTACAGTAGAGGTTTTGGACAGACTGTGTGCTGACGTGTATTAGCTTCTGTGTGGGCAGAGTTGAAAAGGTAACAGATGATTTTCTTACTCTCCAAGGACCTGGTCTACGTCTGCCAACACTAATGAAATTAGCCCGTTACTCATCCAAGATAATACCACTTGTACAGGACCATTTTTAAAAAATTTATTTTATACTGGTTTATTTACAAAGTTATTATACGTTGTTTTCCACACCTGAATATTTCCCATTTCCTTCACCCCTGCTCCCCTCCACCCATCAAATTGTGCAACCCTGTGATTATCACCTGCCCTCCCATCCTTGAGGACCATTTTTTACTCACTCTTGTTCACTTTTCTTTTCAGACAGAAAACAAAGAAAATGAAATAAATGATGGTGATAAAGCACAAGATGGAGACAATGACAAAAATAGTGAGAAGGAGCAAGACAGTGAAGTTAGTGAGGATATTAAATCAGGTAATTTGAGGCAATGTTATTATTGATGTCGTCTGTTAATTACAGTGTTTAATCAGCAGTAGAGAACTCTGTAGCGAGTTGTGCTGCTAACACAAAGGCATCACCTCTGGCAGTTCAGATCACCAGTGACTCCACAGGACTAAAGTGGGCAGTCTCCTTTCATAAGTCTTACAGCCTTCTGACAAGGGTCAGCTGTCAACTAGTTCCGACAGGATGACATTGAGTTCTTTCTAAAACATTAAAAGAGACTGAAATGTGGGCAATTTAATGAAGTAGAAACATATCTCAATTATTTTGGATTTGTTTCTTAATGTAACAGTGTGTGTTTGAGTTTAACTTTGCAGCTGGTTGCCATTGATGTGGTTTTCTTCATCTTCAGTGGCCTGAGGAGGAACGGGCTGTTCACCATGATGTCTGTCACCACAGGGCTTGTCTTGTTATTTTTAATGGCTGTCTCTGACATATCACATCATTTCTTAAGAATGGTTATGAAAGACTCTGTTTTTCGCTGATTGGTTACCTATGAACGTGAGGGTTTCTCAAAACATTTCATTGACTGAGAGACAAACATGTTGATCTTAGCCTTTAGTCCCTCTGAATATTCTTTTATATCCAGGGTATCTTCACACAGATTTTAGAGAAAGGAAAGACAGTGTATTGTTTCAAAAATTCATCCTAAGGAGAAGCAGGTTTAAATACATGGGCATGGTACAGAAAAATCTTACCAAGGGATACTTTGTAACATCAGTTCTGGTTTGTCACTTTGCAGAAGTGAGAGTGAGGGGTTAACCAGATTATTGAGAATGGACACACTAGCAATAAAGGTTTCTGATTATCCTTCCTCCCAACCCATCTCACCCCCATTATTTTGTTTTGTTTCCAGAAGAAAAGGAGGCTGAAGAGAACAAGGAACTCCTTGAAACATGTAAAGAAAGAGAGAATGATATTGGGAAGAAGAAGGTAGAACATGAAATTTCTGAAGGAAATGTAGCCACAGCTGCAGCAGCTGCTCTTGCCTCGGCTGCAACCAAAGCCAAGGTTTGCCCCCGACAGCCTATTTCTAGTGTTCTCCTAAGCCATGAATGATTGTATTGTTTTTAGGTAATTGGGAACATTTGTATAAAGAACCTTGTACCCAGTAGGTGGTGACTTATTAGCTTGAGTGGCAGTTCTAGATTGCAGAATCCGTAGATGAGAGCTAGAAGTGGTAGATGCTAGCCTAGCCTAGCCAATAACCTTCAAAGAGCTCATTGTGTCAGTTCAGCCTGGTGAAGCCTTCCTTCTATGGAGCCCATAGTGGTTCCTTCTTTAAGGAACTAATTGTCATTTTGTTTCTCATTTGCATGCTGAGCCTGTCTTGGACTTTTGTTCTAATCATTTCTACCAGATTGAAATATTTGTGATTTTAAAGACAGAAATCTGCTTCCTTGTAAAAATACTTTTCCTTTGCTCTTAGAGACTAAAGGAAGGGAAGGAGCTTAAAATAGTTCTCTTTCTTCTTGCAGTTTGCCAGCTTTCTTGTGGGTGGTTTTCTCTATTTATAACATAGTATCAACTACATATTTAAGAAGACAGGATAATGTTATTTTCTCTGCTTTTTGTTAAATTGGCCTTTTAAAGCCTTTCAGTCTTGAATATGTGAAGTAGTCTTTATTTTTTGTTTGTTTTTTCCAAATTGTGTTATAGGTGAAGGTTACAAATTAGATTCTCATAGAAGACTTTTGTTGCACCTTGTTGTATGACGTTTGCTACAATGTTCACAATGTTTCTATATTCTCATTGTTTATATTATTATTGTTCTATGTTCGTTAGTCTAATGTCCCTGCTGCTCCTTAGCATCTCAGCTTTGTTTTCATGTAAATCTTGGCTGTTTTGTCACATAAAATTGATAATTCAAGTGAGAACATTATCCACAAGTAATACTGTTAGTTTTTCTGTTATTTGGATGAAAGATAACCAACCAGCAGAAAGAGCTTGACTTCTGAGAATATCTTAGTCTTTGAAATTCTTCTAGTCTGTCATTCCTGTAAGTCTGGCCTATTTTGTAAGGAATTTGTTTTGTTCTACATTTTTCTCCCTCCTATCGGGACTTTTTGCCCCTGCACAATAGTCACTAGTGACCTAGCCAGAAGCCATCTAGTTCTTCCAGTCTCAGCCTCGGAGAGGCCATGTCACTCATCTGACATAGTGCAGGAGGTGCAGGGATGAGAACTTGAGTAGTGTTAGAGCCTGCCCTCATGCATTAGTGGATAGAGTCGTGCCCAAACAAATATCCCAACTAATTGTTATTCTTACTGTGTTTACTCGCAAGTCCCAGGATACCACCTCATCTTTGTAGTTCCTATGTGCCCTTTCTCGAGACCATTGCATGACCGTTTCTCTAGCCTGTTTTTAAATTTGTGACCTCAAGTTGTCCTCCATATTTCACTGTTTCCTTTTTCACGGTGTTTCAGTTCTTTGGCTAATGTCTGGCTTCATTACAACTTACTTGGTTCAGCCTCTTATCCTTTGCCTGTCTTCTTCTTTCCATTATCTACTCTACAGAAAAAGTTCTTTTTCAACTTTTTATTCAAGTATAACATATTTAAATAAGTGAGAGTGTAACTCTATAGCTCAATTAGTTCTTCATAAATTGAAACCACCTATGTATAAAGAACACTCTTATAAAGAAGCATCATAACTAGCAATGAATTAATTTTCCCATTTTTTAAATTTTCTTTTATGAATGGAATCATACACTATATACAGGAATATTTTTTAAAATGTTACTTTCTTCAGTAACTTCCTAATCTCTCTCAGGCCAAAATTAGAAACTCTGCAGTTGAGAATTAAAGGTTTTTCTTTTTTGCAACCAGGACCTGAGTTCTCAAGGCCTCATTTCTTGTCAGTGCTTCCTGAACTGCTTTTTCCCATCTTCTAATAGAATCTACTCTCTTTCCTGCAGCTGGACTTTTTGGACTCTGCTCCTTCTCAAAGAGCCTCTTAGTCTTCCTTCTTGTTATTTCCCCTCTTTATACTTTTATGCTCTTCGTCATTCTATTCTAGCTAGCAGGAATTGAAATGGTAGGTTTTCTTAAACGGTTCCACCGGTGCCTCATGATCTTTTCACATGTCCTCCTAGCTGTATTTGCCACCCTGGAGTGAAACATGTCCATACGTGCGCTGCTTACCACCTCGCAACAACAGTTTGAGTCCTTCATTGCAGACAATCCACTTTTATTCGTCAGTTAGCTGGTACATTACATGTGCCATACCAAGTTTAGAAGAGTATCCAAGTAATACTTTCTTTCTTGTACCTGTGAACTTAAATCTTCATTCTTAGAAGTCCTCCCCTTACCTTTTGATTTCTCAACTACTCACATGCTCATGCTACATGACTTAGCATGCATACATGCATGAACTGTTGCGTATCACAATGAGGTGCCACGCACAGCTGAATGTGATACATTTCACAGCACACATAATCATTTTTTTCTGTGCTACATGGTAATTAGGGAGTAAAGAATTCACTTAAATTACTGTTATTACTATTACTTATCTAGCCCATCTAAGTTTCCTCTTTCTTTTTGTTCTTATGTGTCTACAAGCAGCCTTGTTATTAGAGTTTTCTTTGATACATTTTAATCGTTTGTCACACTCTGCAGTGGAATGGTAATTAGGGGTTCTAGATCTGGCTCCTAAACAGATGGTAGGGCATGCTTTTCTGATTTTGCCCCATCTTTGCCATTTGAAGCATTTTGTAGAAGCATGTCCTTTATTTATTGCATCTACAACGAGGAGTGCTGCATGGGTCTTAACAGGGACACCACTGACTGGATTGCTCTGCATACCTTCTATCTGGATGTTTATCAGAATTATCACTGGACTAAATCAGAGACTAGAATATGGGGGTTTTTTCCAGCAGCATTACAATTCCATTTTTGAGAGTGGTGGTTTTTTGTTTTTGGAGGGAGTTTACCTCCATGAAAAAAAACATCACATTTTGGGACCCTCGGACATTTCATTTAGACTTACTGTTCCCAACATTTACCCCCTAAAAATAACAAAAGGGGATTTGCATTCATGGTAACTAGATGTTCATTGTAGAGAAACAGATATTTCTTACCCCTCAGAAATATGGTATAACTTGCTCACTTATGCCAGAATTTCCTTTTTGAGTTGGAAGAATTTTAATTTTGCATTTTGTTCACAAATTTTAATAGGTAAGAGTTGATTAAAATTGACTTTCAGGGCGTAGCCACAGCAGTTAACACTACCACCAGCCTGTTGCAACTACTGCCACTAGAACTTGTGGACAGATGTGTAGGATCAAGGATTCATATTGTGACGAAGAGTGATAAGGAAATTGTTGGCACACTTCTAGGTTTTGATGACTTTGTCAGTAAAATTGACTTCTGTTAAGCATCTTGAATGTTGGTATCAGTAGCATGAACACAAAAGGGAAAGCTGACCTGTTTGATCATTTTGCCCACCTTTAGCTCTCTTTACTCTTATCCTACTGCGATTATAAATAGACACTGTGTCTTTTCTGCCGTTCTGTGCTTTGTTGTATAAGGTTGCCATAGCCTCCTTCCAACCCAGGAACTTCTTAATACTCTTTTTCACACATTGTCTCTTACACATTCCGCATACATCATCCAAGTCAGACCTCATCATTCATCTTGGGTTATGTGAAACCAGTACATGAAGGATTAGAGCTCCCCATCATCACAACCAAACCCTTCAAGAAGCCACAGCCTGAGCATTGGCCATGTTGCCTTTCTATTTATTCTGTACTATGTACCAGATTTCTACATGTAGTAGTATAAAGCCACAGTCTTTTTTTTTTAAAGTCTTTTTTCCCCTTTTTTTTTTTCTAATTTTATTATTTGTGTATACCATCAAATCACATCTGACTGGTACAGGAGGAGATTGTCCCTCCTTCCCCGGCAGAGCCTCTGGTGGATTCGAACGGGTTGCCTCTGGGATTGCAGTGCAGTTTCTTGCCACCAGGCCACCAGAGCTCCCAGCCACAGTCATTTTATTTTATCTCATTATTTTGTGGGCGAGGAACTTAACATGGGCTTAGCTGGAGAAATTCTCCATGTGCATTATACTGAGGTCACCTCAGTAATGTCTTTACTGCTCAGCTATCAAGTTGTACCTAAGACAGCTTCACTCACATGCCTGGTCCCTAGACTGGGATGCCTAGATTAGTAGGGAGCTGGCTGGCACCATGCTCTCATTGCAAAAACAACCATTGCTGTGGAGTTGGAAATGACTGATAGCTCTCGCTGCAGTGGGTTTCCGAGGCTGTAAGTCATATAGGAGGAGATTGCCCATCTTTTTCCTACAGAGTGCCTGATGGGTTTGAACTGCCAGAGGGGGACTTTCTTTAGGTTACGAGCACAACTTCTGCGGTACCATACCAGAGCTCCCTCTCTCATCATACCCCCTTCACAATGCATTGATGCCCCAGAAATTAGACTCCTTATGTGGCATGTTTGGACTTTAAGAGAAAAGTTCACACGAAGGGATAGTTGCCAAAGTCTTACGGCCTGGGCCCTGAAACTGGCACTTCAAAATTTCAACCACACCTAATGGTTGATGCCGAGCAGTCATAGGTTTTATGCTAATTGAAGATGAGAGGACATAGACCTTGCTTCTAGATGGAAGGACGTCTCGTTCCACCATAGTTTGCCTGCTGCCTGCAAATTATTTACATTACTCTTCATCTGCAAAATAACCCTCTTTTCACAAGGAGCCTCAGAGTCCCTTCCCATTAAACCTGAGAGTCCAGGCTCTGACCTTCTCAGTCAGGTCCAGGCAGAGATGGCGGTGGATACTTGGGTGCTGCTGCTGCCATGTTGATCTCAGTTTGGAGAATTGGTGGACTGACATAACATGATGCAGCACTTGGGATAACTGTACTCCAGATCTGAAGTCTAGTCAGATGGCACATGTTTCCAGAATCAGAGCTCAGGGCTCACGCTAATCCTGGAGAGTTTTCCCCTGTGGCTGTTGACTTGGCCCTTGGGTTTTTGCTTCTGCCTCTCCTTCATTTTTCTCTTAAAAGAAAAATATCCAATTTAGCAGCTGAGTGGTTTTCTTAGCCTTAAGGTTACTGACAGTATGATTTCATCCTTAGGCCCAGATTATAGATTGTTAAGAATTCTTTATATAAAACAGACATAATATCTCTTGGGTGATTTGCAAATGTTTTCTAACAGTTTGAGTTGTCTTTTTGCAAAATTTTATATCCTTGGATACACAGAAAGATTTTTGTTTCAATACAGTGCAGCTTAGTATTCTTCACTTTTGTTTCTTGTGGTTTTTTATGTCATATCTAAGAAATTCTTGTTTAACTCAAAATTAATTCACTAATTCCTGTGTTAGCTCTTACATTCCAGTGTGATCCACGTTATTTCCTTCTGTGTATAGTGTGTTGCAGTGTTCATCACTGTCTATCCCAGTTGTCCCCTTTCCTCTCCTGTTCTTTGACCTTCTCTTTCATTCTTTTCTTCATGATTTCTCTGGACTTTATATTTCAGGACTTCTCCTTTTGCTCTTGTCAGTCTCCTTTTATGCATTCTTGTCAGCTTTCACATGTGGGCTTTGGTGAGGCCTGAGAACTCTCTGCTCAAAAAAGTCTTCTTTACATTTTTACATTCTATATTTTATCAAACTCTTATGTCTCCTTTTATTTATTTATTTTAGAAGGAAAATATTTTTGAGGATCTTAACAGAGAAAAAATTTTAATGATTTAGATTCTAAAGGTTTAAATTATGAAGGTTTACATTTAAAAATTTTTTTAAACTTGTTAGAGTATTTATTTCCCATTTAGAATTAAAACACCTGGAAAGCCTATTTTTTTTTAGATGCTACTTTTGTCTGTTCTGTCCTGTCCCTCTCCACTTCTCTCTTCATTTGCCATTTTGTGTTTGAAGGACCCCATTCTTCCCTTTTCCTAATCTTGTAAAATGGTAGTATCATTGTTTTTACTCACTTTAATAAAAAAGCATTAGCATTATTTTGCTTCTTTAGAGCCATAATGTAGTCATATTTGTTTTTCTCTTGTTTTTACTAATTTTGACATTGATAGAGTTAAGTGTAGCTTGTGGAAAAAGGATTGTTAACAGATACAGATTTATTCATAAGACCTTCCAAAAAAAAAATCACCTTTTGCTTACATTTTTTTAATCTTCTTGCAAATGAGTCTCCAGTGCTGTACTTCTACAGTTTTCCTTTTCAGCGATAAAAAAGGTGAAATACATCACTTTCATTAAATATTATGACTACTAATTTAGCTACCAAAAGCTCATATTAAACTCCTACTGCATGTCTGTGCTTGCTTGATACTGTAGGAACACTGAAATGAATAATACTACTCTTGCTTGCTGTTTCTCAAAACCTTGTGAATGATAGTCACAGAAATGGAGCAAGTATAATAAAAGTGAATTCAAGGTGGTACTGAGAATGTTGAGGAAACCCTTAGATGGTGCAGAGACATTCTGATTGGTCCCAAGAATTGTGGTCTAAACTGAGTGCTGTGACTTCTGGGTGCCAGTCCTCAGCTGACAAGAAGCCCAAGTAGAGCTCATTATTTATGTGGCATAGAAGTAGCATATTCCTCCATAGTAGCTTCCTATCTTGTGAGCTAATTGATTTTTTCCCACTGTGGACACTCCCCTCAAACTTGAGGAAAAATAGTATTCCACCCTTCAGATCAAAAATATTAAGAATAAAAAATGGGCCAGAGATATAGCTTAGTAGTGTTTGTGTTTGGTGCTGAAGAAGACCCCTGCCTGTCTGTGCTTGAAAATACATGGGGATAGAAGGGTGATAGCGTTTGGGGAGATTTTCCTGCAGCTCTAACTCCTCTGGCCCATCCAATCCCTGGTGCAGGTTTTCCTCTTTTATGGGCTTTCTGAAGGAAGTAGAGGGGGAGTAAAACCTGTACCATGGCAGGAAGTATATTTTTTTAAGTCATCCTAAAGAGTGGCTCTATGTTTATGAAGACCAGAAATTCACTGATGATTGTTACTTTGAATTGAGACAAATATATTGCAGAGACATTAAAAGGGTTCTTTTAAAAGGGAGCGCCATTCTAAAGCACATAATGTATACCCTGAATATAAGAATTTTGTTACTGCTTTGGTTAATGCTTCACTAAATAATTTGAATGCTTTTTTTGCTTCTAGCACCTGGCTGCGGTAGAAGAGAGAAAGATCAAGTCTCTGGTAGCCCTCCTGGTTGAGACACAAATGAAGAAACTTGAGATCAAACTTCGACATTTTGAAGAGCTGGAGACGATCATGGACAGAGAGAAAGAGGCTGTGAGTAAGGGAGTCTGTCATGACTTTCTGACTGTGGAACCCTTTTCTTCTTCCAAAATACGGATTATGTAAAATAACTAAGAGCATAGGCTTTTACTCATATAGCTGTTTTCTGTCCCTTCCCTCTCCCCTTGCGTTTACTGTGCCTTTTCAAAGGGACTATCAGTTAAAGTGATTCAAGGACTCTATTCACTAAACTTTTGTTTTGGTTTACATTTATATAGCAAATTGATTTTCCACTCTATTCATACTCATTGTTAAAATTGTAAGCCCTAGTTTCTTGGCTTTCTGAATGCATGGTAATACCACATTTTCCTTTCTACAAAAGTCATACCCAAGACGGTTTTTATTGCCTACTTGAACCAATAAACTTGAATCCATTTTGACCTAGTGTCTGGTTCAGGGATTTTCTTAATTTCTCCTATAGTAAAATATGAGAACATAATTCTTCATTTCATCATGCGTTACGTCCTCATTTTGTCTGATCACTCTGAACCCTTCCTGAGCTCTGTTCCTCGGTCTTGCTCACTCATCAGTGCCCTTTGTGCTTAACAATGAGTAGGAGCTCGCAAGTGGAAGTCTTTGGGCCATAAACTTGACATAACATTGTTGGCCCAGTACGACTAAGAAGACTATAGAAAGGCCAAAAATGAGGGCAGAAGCAACAAAAAGGAAATAAAATGTGGAAGTGGGAAATACTCTAGAGAATATTAGGAGAAATTGGTAGGGTATATTTTTTTAGGAGGGGAATTTTATCTTTCATGAATTTACCAGAGAACGTAGTGACTTAGGGGAACTAGATGTCCATACCTCTAGAAACTATATCAACTTTGATAAATGACAGTAGTTAGGGAAAGACTTCAGGCCTTTCGTTCATAGGGTTGCTGAGTCATGCTTGACTCAGTGGCAATCAACAACAACAGATGTGCATTTATTTAGGAATTTCTCTCTGCCTTTGTTAGACTATTTCTTAGTGATTGGTCCCAGTGAGCCTTCTGGCATATTCCCTGTTAAGGCTAATACCCTGGACCTGTCACCACAGCCTTGTGTGTATTGTCCCAAGATCAGCTCAGCTGCCTATATAAGCTTACTGGCTCGATGAGTAGGAAGAAACTGCCCTGTGGCTTGCCAACCCTCTTGACCACCCTTTATCAGCCTTTCCCATTCCCTGAGAAGGAGTCTCTCACCATCGCTCTTATGCATTCCACTCCCCATGTTCAGTCATTTACTCTGTAGCATCTCACGTCCTGCTACCTTTCTTGCATCAATATTGGCCACTCCAGGCTCGTCTCCATTATCTGTGGCTCCAGCATGTCCAGGAATAGGCTTTCCTCACGACATGTTTGATAAAGCCCATTTCCCTAGTCTGCAATCTGCTTAGCTAAGTGGGTTTTACCTCAGGGACTTCGCCGAGTCTCAACTGGCCTGGAAAATCTACTGTCAAGTTCATTCACTTGACTGTTTGCAGGGGGCTTCATTCAATTCCTTGTGACCTGTGCCTCTCCATAGGCCTGCTCATGAACCGGCTTCTCCAACAGTGAGTTATTCAGAAGACAACACAGAGAACCCAAGATACAAACAAAATTAAACTTAACTAGTCGCTTACCGCTTCTCCCTTACTCTGTTCCACAAAGAACCAAGAATCTTTTAAGAGAAGGTGTAATTTAGAGAAAATAGAGATAATTTGAAGCAAGTTGGATGTTAACTATCATAACAACCAAAAAGAATCCTTCAAAATGTCACCTCGTCACTTTGTATCTGTGAACCTTTTAAAGAATGCCTGGGGTCTATTTCGAGAACTTCCATTCACATTTCTTCTTTTTTAAATATTTCTATACCAAATCTATGAGCTCATCCAGTCCATAGCTGCTGACGTCTCTGAAACTCATTTGACTAGTTATGGAAATTATATATCTTTGGAATAGAGAGGCATTGTTAGAAATTCAAAGCTGAGAAACCAGTGCCCTGGCCTGAAAGATATTAGAGGATAGATGCACAATAACACGGAAAGAAAACAGACATGATTGGTTCACACTTACCATTCCTAAATAGTACAAAGGAACTGACTGAAAATTTGGAAGATCGTGGTTGACTGAAACAACCAAGGATGGCTTCCTAGAAGGAGGCAGCTTGGCCTGATTGTAAGAATGGCTCAGATCCAGACACAAGAAGAGAAAGACATGAGAACTGCAGTCAGAGTGTGTGTGTCCCCCAGACACAAACTCACCTGCATTCAAACTCTTGCTTACTTTTCCCTTCTGTTGCTTCACAATGTATTTTGAATTCCCCACAGGTATAAGATGGAATAGATATGGATATTTTTTCAATTAGCCTTTTTTAAATATATATATTTTTGTTGTTGTCAGTCTGGTTGCCTACAGCAGACACTTAAACAGAAGAAGATGTGATTATTTTCTTCTGTTTTGAGGGCAGATAGCCATAGTCAGAGGCTCAAGTCTTAGCTGACATTTCAGTCCTTGGCAGTGTACAGAGATTTTTGTGGCCACCACTGTTCTAGCTCTTTCCCACCCCTCCTCTCTTCTTTGTGCAAATAGAAGTTGGGAGAAGCGCTTTGTGTGAACTTCAGCTGCACTCGCAGCTGTGGCTGTGCCTGGCGTCTTGGTGTAGAAGAGTGCTCCGTTGTGCTCAGGTTCCGCTTGGATACGGCTGCTTTGTACATACACAGGCTAGCGGTGGAGGGGAAGGGAAGCAGGGTTTGAATACAGCAGGGGATGTGACTTCAGAGCAGGACTGTAAACAGCCTTGTATGAAATGGGTTTCCTACAACCAGATCAGAGCCTTGAAAGAACGTTTACACATTCATTAACACCTTATTTGCGCTGTGCATTCTAGCTGTTGATATTAAAAATAAGGCACTCAGAAATGAGAGAAAAGAAAAAGATGGCAGTACTATGCAACTTGGTGGTCAGTTCTCAGTACCTTTTCTTTTTTTAATTACAAAAATAATTCTATGCATGAAACAAAAAAAATAGAAGTAATAAAGTAAATTTTTAAGTCTTTTTCTTTTATATCATTAGGGCTGTATTGTACATTGTTGTTGTAACTTGCGTTTTTCACTCACTCAGGATATTGTAGAGAAAACTGTGTATCTAGAATAATTGTTTGATGACTGCCCATAGAATCACTGAGTTCACTGATAAAAGTGCCTACTGAATGTATTCGTGGCTACCAGATTTCCCCTCAAAGACTACCAATTTCCTTCTTTTTAATTACCATGAAAGTGAAGACCAGAAGATGTCTCCAACAGGAGTGGTATTTCTGGGATTTCTCTTGTGTCATGAGGCTAGAATGGGGCGGTAAGCTCTGCCATATCAGCTGCTGTGCCGAGACCTACCCTTCTATCCACCTGACATGAAGCCTCCTGTGCAGGGGTTGCTTTACATTCAGGAGATCTATGTTAGAGCTTTAGGACTCAAAAGTGAGCTCTCTTGGGG